AGTTGCTTGTCCACATATCTTCGACCACAAGACTTTCTCTTATCAGCAATCTACTTGAAAAATTTAAAAGTTTCATCTGTTGTAACTGAGAAAGTCTCAGAGAGCATCCTTTCTGATGTACCGATATCAATCTTCAATATTTTAAAGTAATGGCATTGCTACTTTATCTTATTAGCTTTTGAATTCATTTTGTGAAATTTTTCCAAGTTTGGATTTTCCTCTGCTCCTGAGGTGTGAATATGATTCTCACATCAACACCGTTCTACCCTTTGCCCTTGCTGATTTGGGCAGTAATGGATTACCCTGGTTTACATGACATTAGATGGAGTCAGCGCTGGGACTAACTTCACTCTTATGAAATGTGTGCTGTCTTAAGTGAAGTTATCAGTGGAATATGCTTTTTCTTCTTCATGTATTTTAAAAATAATCTTAGTAGTAGTCAAGATCAAAAGGGTATGCCTTCACCAACATTTGAGTTGCTGCCTGAAGGTCTTTTCTGTAGATCCCCTTTATACAAGGGGTACATTAGTGGTGGCTTAGAGCAATATTTATCACATTACTTGGACAAGACACGGCCTATTTACTTTTTCTTATGAGAACATGAAACTACTGCTTTTGTGTGTATATTCCTTCATCCCACATTGACCTTTACTAAGATATTTAGCTGTATCTAGAGCTTTCTAAACACAAAGAATCTCACAACTTGGAAAACAGACAACCATTCGTAGAAATGAAACAGAAGCTGACAGAACAGTCAAAAGTTAATAGTTTTGATGAAGGTTCTAGGAAGATGTTCAGTATAAAAGACTGAGGAATATTCTACATCCATAGCATATCTCTTTCTTGATACAGAATCCAGTATTAACTTTTTTCAGTTAGCTGTACAAGGTTGCACCCAAAACACTCGTAAGCACAGTGGCAAATTGATTTTTGCTTCACTTCATTGATTTTGTGTTCCAAAAATAATACCCGTGTATGTACTTTCTTCATTAGTAAGAACTTGCAAATACTACTATATGAACTTTAAAACAGTCTTGAGAAGGTATATTCAGAAAAGATCTTGGCAGTGATGTAGACACAAGGGGAGTAAAATAAGAAAAGGTCTCCAGGTCAAAAGGGACTAGAAGCGATGCCAGACAGTGGCTTTAGTACCTGAGGATAAGAAACACCTTATGCCACTGAACAGGAACTCCTTAAAAAATTAAGAGGATGTACCAGGGAAGTCTAAAGGTGTTTCATCAAATCCTAGTTATCTGAAAGAATGGTAAATCACATAGAGCAAAAGAACATTTGTAGCATGTGAAAATGGGACAATGAGGGATTAAAGATTAAATAGAAAGGGGCTGCAATGTCCGGTAAACAGGAAGAACAACAAGTTCAGATACTCTCAATCTTCCAAAAGAAATACAATCCTCATGCAGTTTCTCGCAAGTGCATCTAGGATTTTCTCTCACTTCCTTCAAACAAATAGCTCAAACTTCTATTTCAAATCACTAAAGAAAATGCAACATGCTATGCCATGGCAGAAACATCAGTTCTTCCTTTTCCCTCCACAAATAAAAGCAATAACGTTGGGATTGTAAAAAAGTAAAGTATTAGAAACTTGACCAGTGAAACTGCTTACCTTTGCAACAACACAAGTGAAAGCACAAGAAAATAAGCTCTTGGGACAATCTAGAAATAGCAGCAAGGTAAGGTTTTACAGAAACAATATAGTTCATATCAACTCTTATAATCTGAAGCTGTTTGCTTATCCTTTGGCTGCAGCGGATGACACGCAACTTCAGTATCTAGAAAAATTCTCTTTATGGTGAAGCTTTTGCAAGTTCCAGGAATCTGAAGAATAGCTATGAAAACAGAGACTTCTAAAACCTACCCATGATTAAAACGAAATGCCAGAAGTTTAACAAAGGTAGAAAGCTAGATGAAATGTCACAACAACTTACTCGGAAAGAAAGAATATGCAACTGGCAAACTTTTAATTCAAGACAAACTACAGAAGTGCACCTTTGCCTGGATTTACGTGTAGTAAAGGATTAAGTGAGACTGGTAAAACAGCTGGTGACATTATGGGTCCTCCCAGCACTTGAACATATACGCAATCCTGGGAAAGTTTTTAAAATATATTTTTAATATACTTTGATATCATCATTGTCTTTAAATTTAGATTCTTTTTTTCAAAAAAGCTGAAGTCTTTGGCTTGCAGATGTTCCTCTAATCATAGAATAGTTTGGGTTGGAAGAAACCTTTAAAGGTCATCTAGTCCAACCCCCCTGCCATGGGCAGGGACCTCTTCAGCTAGATCAGGTTGCTCAGAGCCCCGTCCAACCTGACCTTGAATGTTTCCAAGGATGGGGCATCCACCACCTCTCTGGGCAACCTGTGCCAGTGCTTCACCACCCTCAGCGTAAAAAATTCCTTCCTTCTATCTAGTCTAAATCTACCCCCCTTTAGTTTAAAGCCATTCCCCCTTGTCCTGTCACAACAGGCCCTGCTGAAAAGTTTGCCACCATCTTTTTTATAAGCCCCCTTGAAGTCCTGATAGGCTGCAATAAGGTCTCTCCGAAGCCTTCTCTTCTCCAGGCTGAACAACCCCAACTCTCTCAGCCTTTCTTCATAGGAAGGGTGTTCCATCCCCTTGATCATTTTTGTGACCCTAATGTTTCATGTCAAGTAGTGAATAAAAGAAAAGTGTTGTTCTGTCTTTTTTCTCTTTATATTTTGTGAATTTTCCATACGCACTAAATACGCAGTATATTAAGAAACAGACATATATCCATACGGGGAAAAAAGTGGAGCTGATGAAAGGCCTCCTGATTTATTTAAATCAGAACCTACAGTTTGACATGAGTATTTGGTAAACGTAGTTTACCTAAAGAATTTGAAAATCTACTCTGTATTACTTATTCCACCCACATATCTATGTTAAACTCATTAAAAAAAATGTATATTGTCCATGTTTAAAATAGCTGTTTATCTACATTGTGCAGAGCTGCTCTGTGTTGGTGCATGGCCATTTCTGGAAAATGTGATAAATCACCACCTAGAGCTAGGCAACAGTTACTGCCATAATTAATGGTCCACTGCTAAAATGTGGATCCTCTTGTAGGCATTTCTGCACTCCATGTGCCCAAGAGCACAGTTTTTGAAAAGATGTCCTCTAATTTGGCTGATATCTTTCGTCTCTTCCCTTGTAATTGAAAGCCGAAGGTAGTAATATAAGACTTACTAAGAATTAACTAATCATAAAATTGACAGACCTTAAGAAGAGAGTGTGCCACAGTAAAAAGCATCATGGAGGGAAGCTATACAGGGACGCTTGACCACAAACTTAAAACAAGACTGATGGAAACAGATCTCTTTGGTCAATGTATAAGATTAAATGCAAATCTGAAGAATTACACAAAGACCAGTAGAAGTTGACAGAACCTGAACACCGGTAGCTGAGTGCTTCCCGGTTTCTATCTTACTGTCCAAGGCAATTGCAGGGGAAATGAAAGAGGATTGCAACTACCTTCTTTTCGCTAGACCGTAGCATGGAAGCACAAAGCAGCAGAACGTGTGTGCTACTAGAAGTCCAGCTGTGTATGCCCACTTGAAGAAGCAGCGATATTCCCTCTGTACAGGGTCATATTATTACACAAGCACATACATTATGTTCATGATGTCTGTTATCTATAATGGGAGCTTAATGTAATTATACCAAAAACTTGGTGTGCTCTGCTCTGAAAATACCATCCTGAAAGAAGGCAAATTGCTGGCTTTCACAGCAACCTAATAGGGTCATCAAGACAGCATACAATAACACAATTTTGATCTTTGATTCAAACCTCATGCCAAGTGGAGCTGATTTTTTTCCATTTAATTTTAATTTTCATGTAACTGAAAGGAGCTGACATTTGGCTGTCTAGAGGGCAAAGAAATTGGCAGGACACTTACATGATCTCACTAACGGTATGTGCACGGTAATAACATTATACCATTTATCTGAGGAAGATTATCCTATTTATCCATAACTCAAAGCATATTGGTGCATAATTCAATTTTAAAAGCAATTTTTAAAGTTATAGCAATAATGAAATATAATTCAACATTTCTGAACAAATAGGAAGAATCGGGAGATATTTATTTCCCTTGACTCACAACATTATTCTGATTAACAAGCAGATTAAAATTAAAAAAAATAATGACAGATCCAATTTGTAGTACAAAAAAGAAACTGATATTAACAAAATTAAAATTGAGCAAAAATCAAAATAGGTATGCAAGGAGTAAGTGAATTTATAAAGATGAATTACACTAGACAGGAGAGAATGTAACCACCTGATTGTGCATTTTAGAAAGTAAAAATTCTCAGAGTTAAGGATCAGTGTAATCATGAGGTATGGTCTATTTTTGGGGCACAGAGTCACACAGCTGCAGCACTCAGCCCTCCTTTGAAGGGCAGTTCCATGATCTCACACAGTCAAACTGGACTGCCCACTTCAACCCCCTCAAAGCAGAACAAGAGAAAATAGATCCTTTCTCTCTACCCTGTGGACCTTACTAGAAGAAGCACAGCCATCTGCCATCACAGACACAGGAGAGGATGGCCGGATTGGAGATTTTAGTTCAATTATTCCACTGAATCCTGGCAATTTCAGACCAGGTCTTGCCTCACGTGTTTCAGTTTCAACTCAAATGAAGCCTTTACTTAAAGACTGATGGATGAAATCATAGGAAGACAGAATAAAAACTCTGCATGCTTGCAAACCAGAACTGATAAATTTGGCTATAGCTTATGTAATGGAAAAACTTTACAGGTAAGTGGTTAAAATGTTTGCACAAGTAGTTTTAAAACTAAAGATGTGCTCAAGCTGTGGAATTTACCACTCCTATTGATTTTAGAGAGCTCCTAACATTTATTTTGTGCTCATTTTTAATAAACCTAAGTTTCAAAACATTCAGTTTACAGTAATGTTTCCTTTTGTTAATGAAAGTAGAAAATGCTCATTACCCACCTGAAGAACATCTCCAAGGTCAGCAGTGCTAATATCTGGGTCTTCAGTGGTATTAAAAGGAACAGGGTTAATTCTTACAAGAGTGAGCACTCTGGGTTCTGGATATCTCCACAACATCATTCCCGGACTATCCTCAGTTTCATTGTAAAACACAACTTCATAGGCACTGGGCAGTTTTTGTGCTTCTGTCAAATGAAAGAAAACTATAATCTGTTATATAATTTCTAGAAAGAAACATGCTGGTTTATGAGACCAAAGTAGTTAAAAATAAACCCCTCAGGATCAAAAGGAGAGAAAATAAAAAAGCAATTTCCCTGACTTTTAAAAGAATACAGCTTAATGGAAAGAAATCAAAAAAGTATTTTTTTGTCATTCTAGCAGATGTCTTTTCAATTGCTTTTCCAAAAAAAGTAAAGTATTCATTGTAAGAGGCAAGTAATCTTTAATAGGTTACTACTGTAGTTACTTTGTAATTAAAAAAAAAAGAAAAGAGCAATAATATTCTTCTTACCTGCATCTTGTATATACTGGAACAGGCCTGTTCTCAGATCATCTGAGGTATGCTCAGTTTTTGAGGCCTGATTCCTTCCCGTAGAAAAAGAAGTGGGGTGTGTACGTTCAGATAGCAATGTCTCTGCACTGCCCTTTTTAGTGAGGTACTGCCACAGAAGCTCCTGGAGAAGAACTAAACAGTTCAAATGCTCTTACACCCAGAAAACCTTTAAAAAAAAAAAAAGAAAAAGAGAAAAAGACAAAACAATTGCATACAAATATTTAGTCATTTTTGAAGGAAAAAACCTCTCCAAAACAATAGGAACTTTACATGCCTTTCAGCCTGCTCTACTTCTACCTTAATTGCTCGCAAGTATCCTTAATGTGAAAATAAAGAACAGGAACAACAAGAATTCTCTACAAAACCATTTCGCAAATTTGTTCTTTTCATCATACAAAGGAAAGCATTAATTCTTACCACTTACAATTTATACTGATGCTGCCCGGAAGAGCACACAACTTAAAAGTGATACGCAAGAACTTACAGCTGAGTGCAGTACATAATGCTAGGACTAGTCACAGGTTTTGCAGTTTAAGATATGACAAAAAAAAACTTAAAGATGCAAAGTTTAAACTGTTCAAAGAGCATGTTGCTCCAAAAGTGGAATTCTGGAATGAATTAAAAACTGAGTGACACAGCAAAGATGACTAGAAGGACATACGAAAGACCATCTCAAGCACAAATATTGAGTATATACAGCATATGAATTGGATGTGCTGTAAGTTCTCAGTGAGGCTTAAAAGTGTAAAGTTTTTTGAAATTTAAAACAGAAATTTAGAAAAATATCTAAGAAAAACTGGCATTCAAAGTCCAGAAGATTCATATACTTTATAGCAAAATAAAAGGCAAGTAGGCATTCCCCTCTCCCAGCTTTGACAAGCAGCGCTGCTTTTCTCAAATCAAACTCCTGTTTGAGAGAATCATGTTCACGGGGACAAGTCCTTTAGTCTTCATGTGCAGAAGTGGGCCCAGAAGCAACAGGGAAGACAAGGAAGCAACTAGCAATTAATAAAGAAATAAGACTTAGAACCAGCGTGGGATGAAATCAAAATCACCAGACAGTAACCTAAAAGTCCATGGTAAGGGTAGGAGTAAAGTAAACAAGTCAGGTGTGCACATAAAGAGTAGTGCAAATTTTTTCACTGGGGAATACCAGTTTTCAAATATGAAGAAAAATCAGAAGATGCCTAAAGGGAGTGTAGTACAGCTGTCAAGAATGAAGCTTTTCCTTTCCTTGCATCTACATGTAAGCCCATGGAATAAACCAAGACCGTCTTGAAACACAGCTACAACCAGTCCTGAGCTAAATAGTCCCAGGCTACCCAGGTCGTCCCCCTAATTCAGTGCATCTCTACTGCAGTTGCTAGAGTACCTCTGGGCCCAGGGTCCCAACACTTGGTCTAGCACCACCTCAAAGGAGCTCTGTGTCACCTAAGCTGATCCCAGAGGCCTCAGTCCCCCATTGATGGAGAGGGAGGAATGCTTTTTCTCCACCCACTTTTATTCATTTTATTTTTAGGCAGCTGGAGCTCCAGAGCACAGAACTCCTACTACAATATTCACAGATGAGGCACCAATTTCACATAAGCTCTCTAGACTCTGCTGCAATACAAATTAACAGCGGTAGAAGATGAGGTCATGTTTAGAGCTGGTAAAATCATTAGCCGTAAATAAATTAATTTGAAACAGAATTGCTAGTGCTTTTGTCAGCGTTCTCAAATCTATTCTGCCAGACCAAATACTTAACTGTTTTCTGCAAAAGCTAATTAGCCCAGTGTATACTCTAATAATAAATGGCTTTCTCAGATTTATAGATATTTTTCTGGCCCTTGTCAAAACCCCAAAATTTTTGGGGAAAAAAACCCCAACTTTTTATTATTGACAACATGTAGAGGTAGTCAGCCAAGTACCTGTCAATAACAAATAAAAAAGAAGCAGAGAAACAAACTGACTTTATTTATTAATTAAGATATAATTTTTTAAAATTCATATTATTCAGTTAGCCCTATTCCCAGTGCTGTGGTTTTAAGAACTTCTAACGCCGATTCTGGGAAAAGACCTAATGACACGACTAAATGTCAAAATTTCCTTTTTGTGTTTTATATGCTTGATTTATACATTTATTTTAAAACATTTGGTGTGTATAGATACTACAATAAAAATAATTAAAACAAGACATATCTTAAAGCCCACTTGTTTAAGCCCCACAGAATCTATTTTTCATTCCAAGAACTCCCATGCTTCTTGGACTGGTTTCAAGTTGTGGGCACTTCCAAAAAGGAGAGGATAGCATGGAAAAATGAGTATTAATTGCTACAAGCAGTTTATAATTACTCCCCTGAGAAACTGGTGTAAGTTTAAAAAGAAAGGGTATGTATTTCTTAAAGCTACCCCTAGGCATTACAGACACATAGCTCACGGACAGACAAACACACACACATCAGAACAGGGTCCTAGATATTAAGTGTTAGTAATTTGATCCAGTAGTTTTAAGGCAACACACACACACAGCTACAATACATGGCTTAAGCAGTATTTAAAAAAAACCCAAAACAGTGTACACAATTTTTCAATCAACAGTTTTACACGAAAGAATAAGATACTTATTTTAAAAGGTAAAATAAAAACCACCCAAAACAAACAAGAAAAAAACCCCAATCCAATGAACTGTTGTAGGCTGCAAAGCTTTACAGGCTTTCATGCAATTTATTTATGAAATCTCAATCATCCAAAGCCAGTCCAGCTCAATAGCAGAACCATAACCTTCTTATACAGACCTGCAGCAGTCCTCCTCTCAAATCGATGTATATTTTTGGAATAGATTGCTCTGGGCCAGGATCACCACTGTGCTTACACCACTTGGCTTCCACATTAACAGAGCAGCAAAAAGGGCCCATCAGAGATCTGGCTCTTTCTTTGAGACTTGTTTTAAGTAGGAAATCTTTTATGTCAAGGACAAAAGATGATCCATGGATTCCTAAAAAGAGAGAGAGACAATTAATCCCGCTGGTAGTTATTCTCCCAACATTTATGTGCTTATTTCCTGAATTCACTTTACCATGAGCCTGGGAATCTGCCCGCAAGCAATTACTCACACAAGTAGTCCCACTGACTTTAATGGAAATGCTTGTGTGGACAATCGCTCTCCTCTCCAAGCAAGAGCATCACAGTTGGGCCACAAGACTTGTGATTTTATTTTTTTTTTTAGCTTCTCTTCCAACACTATCGAGCACGCTTTATACAGTGTTGCAGTTATGGAGCAGGTATGTCTCATGCACATTCCTTACAAAGAACTATTTGCCAAAACATTATGACTTTTTACATGTGTGAGTATTTTAAGGTTTATGAGAAGAGACATTTTTCATTAAACTATGAAATTTTTTTTCAAAAGAGTATATTAAGAACAAGAACAGCTGCTTCGCTTGATTATATTTTAAACTGATAGGAAATAGCTATATTGAAGGATTCTCTCTGCTTTTGTTCAGGTTAGTTATTATAAAATATTGCCTTGCTAGACATTGGAGTGCTTAGCAGGAGAATAAGGGTAATGTTTGAATTAAAATAATTCAAAACAATTACTGTAACTCAAAATATATAACATGTGTTTACCTAAAATACAGTTTAATCTAAACTTTTCACATCATAACCATTTGCACTTTACATAGCTTTATGAAACAAAAATTATAATGGCAGGTTAGATTTATGACAGAACTTACGTACTCTCATTAAAGACAAACATTTGTAGGAAAGAAACACTATCTAGAAATGTCACATCTCTTGTGAATTTAACTTACTGCAAATCACTTTAATAAAACAAACCATACTTAATATCTCTGTATTTCTTTGGTATATTTACATGAAAAGTACTATATCTGAGGCTGGGTTAACTTTTTTCTCTTCTGATGCCCATACTTGGACTCAACTATTGAATGTCACCATACTTTATAATGCCCACAGCTTATTTTTCTAATGAAACTGGATATTTACCAAAGGCAAAAGATCAAAAAACACCTAAGGCTCACATACAGATGTTTCAAGGTACAGTTCCATTTTATATTTTCATACCTTTGCTGGTAGAAAAATCCACAAAAATACAACTCACTGTTTTGAATACATGCAGTAAAACTTCTCCTAGGAATCTCTTTTAGAATCCAGAAGGAAGTCTGTCTGCATCCTGGGAGTTACGATTTCATAATACCGAGAAATATTTTATACAATGGAAGGAAATATATTGGATTTTTTTTTTTTTTTTTTTCGGAAATCCAGCATCCAGTAGGAAGGTGGTCCAGCAGTCCCCATAGCAATAATGGCACTGAATTGCATTCAACCCAAGTAGGAACCACAAACAAGAAGAATCTCTCCCTTGAGCCGTTTGGAGTTTTGTAAGAATGATCAAGGGCTCCAGTGAACCTTTGCTCCACGCCAATCAACAGGACTGTTGTCACTGATTGGGAAAGGGGTTTTAGCTCTGGGTTATTTAGGCTGGCTTCTGAACCCCTGAGTCTGGTCTCATGTGTAACAGAGAAACTGTTATAGAAACTGTTCAGTGTTTTTTTGACACTGAACTTCAGTGGTAATCAAGAAAACTAACATCAACACACCCTGACGCCTCTCCTTTTGGTACTGGTTCACACTTGATTCTGTAAACTGTGGAATGAAGCAACTTCACAGACAGTCTTAAACCAAGAAAAAGAGGTATTTTTACGGGAAGGGCTCACCCTCACCCTGCTATGCTCAGTCTAGTTATTTTAAGAGGCATTACAATATTTGGAAATCTATTTTTTTTTTATACTCTACACGGAACTTCGATTTTAAAGAGGAGAAATTCTCAGTAATTACTTCACAATTCTGTAATATACAGAAATGTTCTATAGTTCTATTGGAATATGTGCCAAGTTGCAGAAATAACAAAAGGGAAAAAGGAATGCCAGAATACAAGTGGTTTTATTTATGTTTTCTTTCACTGGGATTACACTTGGAAAGATTATGCTTTGCAGTCTTTCTCTGTTGTCATCTTAGTTCCATGAAGTACAAAGAAAACACAATATCCAATGGCTTAGAAACAGAACTGAGCATTCAGCACATAATACTGCTGGTTCAAAATCGGCAGTGCCTTTCTCAAACGCTATGTAAACAATGAGAAATGAAGACACAATTAAGAATAAGGAAGTGTTGGTAAATTTTAAATAAATGAACTATTACAAGACACATCCATGGATTGTGTCCTGCAAATACCAGGAAAAGCTCAGGGACTCAATGAGAGATTTTTCTTTTTCTTGCTGTGACCCAGATAGCTCTTGTATAGGCAAGAATCACACCCTCGTCCTTTTGGGATGAAGTGACTCTTAGTATAAAAACCACTGTGCTCCTAATAAAAAAAATGCAGAGAGCATTCAGAGAAACTTGCACAAAGTGACATCTTAAGGAAGCTTAAAGAAAACAAATGAAGAAAAACAAGTATGCACAAACCCTAAAAAGCAATAGTAAATAAAGAGATCTCTGGGCCTGGGGGAAGCTTCAATGGGGTACCATCACTATGGAAATCCTAAAAGGATGACATTAGAAAAGAAATAATCTGACTTCCTAAGGGAAGGGAGTGAAGAAATACCAGTATGCACTAGAAGGGAACTTATTTTAAGATTGCTAAATGCCATACTAACATTCAAAGTATATGCCCAGTTAGTGAAGTTGCTTTCTAAAGCAACTAAAGCGACTAAAGCAATCATCTCAGAAAGGTAAAGATGCAAAACAATTCTCCTCTGTTTTTTTCCCTCCCACACACTATTTTCAGCCAGTCCTTTCATGCATCTCTCACAAACTTCTATTGTAGAATTCCAACTTCAGTTTAAACAAATTAAATCAAAGTCTCCATTTGAAGTGAACTTGAGATGGCACCATACAGAAGTAATATATCTTCATAAACGATCGTTGTGATATGTAGAAGTTAACTTGTTCTGTTTGGGTTATTGCTCATGAACACCAACACACTTTTCAGTACGTGCAATAATTTACTTCTAGAAACAAACAGTTTCATGACTTTTAAAATACTCCTCCAAGAGACTAATAAATACGAAGCACTTGCTTTGGACAGTGTTTAAAAAATGCTGCCAGTCCTCCGTTGTCAGACTCCACCCAGACCCACAATAGCACTGCAATTTGCTGCCACGCTAACTGAGCAAAATACAACTCACACCAGGTTTCTGCATGCCATTGGAAGGATTACCTTTATGATGACATATGCTCAAAGGGAATATCCAGGTATTTTTAAACTTAGGAGGGTTTGAAAAAAAGCTAGCACTTGCTTGGTAATGTCAAGAAGTTAACTTGCTCAGAAATTAAAGATGGAGATCATTACAACAGAATAGTGAAGAAAAGTTACTAAAAAACAACATTTGCTTTGATATTCTAACATCTTTTTTTTAGTCAGTAGAGACTTGATTTATGCTAACATTTACAAAGACATCTCATAGAATCTGAGTACCCTAATATAGTTATAAATATATTAGAGTTTACCAGTAATAGGAAGCTCCATGTTTGTTAAACCGCCCTGTGTGCATAAATCCATTTGTGTGTATAGAAAAAAAAGAGCTGGCCCATTTTAACAGATGCAACAAATACATTAAAACAACCCTCGCCTTACAGTAACAAGCACTTAGTGTTTAGGCAAAACAGGTGTTAAGGAAGAGTTCTGTTATTTTTCCTGGTTCACAGACAAAGGGAGAGACAATGTTTTGACATTAACTATGGACTTTCTGTTTCCAAAAACATCTTAAAATACTGATATTTGAATTAACTCCAAATGAAACAAGTAGAAATGTAGCAGGAGTTTTTTTCCTTCTGTTATGCTCTGTGCATTTGCTCTTCCTTGGATAGTTGCAAATCCTGTTTGGTTCACTGCGCTGTCACCTAATACAACATAGAGCACGATTTTAATTGGCAAACTTCTACGTGGGAAAAGAGTTCTAAGAAAATGGAAACACATGTATTACAATAAATATAGCAAATGGCACTGGACGACACTCGAGCTATCTTTTCTAAAGCCTCTTGGAAGCTAGTAGCTTTGCTACAAACTATAGCGCTAGGAAGAAAATTGCTTTTCTGAGCCTGGGGCAGCTCAGAAGCAAGACTGTCCCAGAGCACGGAGCCTACCACGCTGGTTCGGACTGGGCCAGATGCACATGAGCGACGTGGTCTGCACTGCCAGCAGCAGCTGGCAGAGCGCATTCCCACCCAAAGGACCGTGGTGCACTCTGAAGGAAATAGTCCAGGCTCTCCCATGGTCCCTCCGTGCCTGGGCGGCAGAGATACAATCTGGCTGCTGAAGGTTAATTAGCGAGTGGTTTTCCTTACTACCTACTGCTTTAATGTCACACATTACTGAGGCGATAATCTGTGATACTTGCTTCTGAGCATTCACTCCTCATATTTGCAACTTCAGGAGCTAGTTTAAAGTTGCCAAAGATACTAAGACAGCTTTGAATATGTAAATATGTTATTATATCTAATATATCGATACAATTATCTACATGATTTTTTTCCTCTTAAGAAAACTTCAGATACATCATGTAATGAGTAGTTATACTACAGTTATACTGCTCTGTTGACAGGTATCCTCTACGAAGCAGCTTCTGAGAGGAAAGGATAACAAAGCCATGAAAATAATTACAGGGGAAATACTGCAGTTTATTTAAGAGTCAGCCAATTTATTCAAGTCTGGAAACAGCAGTAGCAAACAAATGGTGAGACGTAGTAAAGGACAATTTTCCAGGAGAGATTTAGTTAACAATCCACTGACCACACTGGATTTCTCATTAGTGTCGAGCTGAATCTTATGATAATTCATTCTCCCCACGAGAACAATATTTACACATTACCAATTAACTATTCTTTAGTGAAAGAGAGTTTTTCAGCATTACATGGGGACACATGTGGGCTCTGTAAAAACATGAGATGTGTAACACACGGTAAACAGAAAGT